AAATGTTTTCCCATTTTTGTTGCCGTGTGTTGTAGATCATAAGAAGAAGCTTTCTTTACTAGGCTCATAATTTTATTTTTAATTGTAAGCTCCTGTAATAGATATGTAAATAAATAAATAAAATTCGATAATAAAATGCTTTACTTAGACAGAACTATACATGTTAAAGCAATATTTAAACATAAAGTGAATTTTAAAGTTAAAAGTTACTTACGAAAACGTCCCTACGTGTGCCAATATTTTAACTTTTTTTTTGTTTTTCGATGCTGTCCCTGTTAATTTGGAACAGTTTTTAACATTACATTGACTATCGATAGTATTATCGATGGTAGCGTTTGACACTGTCGATAGTATTGTTGGAAACTATCAACGAGCAGCGATAGTTTATTTCTGAAACATTGAAACTATCGATAGTTTTACAACTCTAATCTGAAGAAAGGGGAAGTGCATCAAATATATCAATTGCGATATCTTTTACAACGTAAAATCTCCGTAGAAGAACCCCATAAGCGTAGAGGCCCGGTTCAATGTCATAACTGCCAGGAATTTGGTCACACACGTCGCTACTGCACCTTACCTGTTGTCTGTGTTATCTGTGAGGATCAACACACTTCTAAGGAATGTGTGGAACCAGACATGGACCNTAGCGAAATTTTTTTCTGAAACATTGAAACTATCGATAGTTTTACAACTCTAATCTGAAGAAAGGGGAAGTGCATCAAATATATCAATTGCGATATCTTTTACAACGTAAAATCTCCGTAGAAGAACCCCATAAGCGTAGAGGCCCGGTTCAATGTCATAACTGCCAGGAATTTGGTCACACACGTCGCTACTGCACCTTACCTGTTGTCTGTGTTATCTGTGAGGATCAACACACTTCTAAGGAATGTGTGGAACCAGACATGGACCCAAAATCCAAAAAGTGCAGTAACTGCGGTGGAAATCACACTGCTAACTATAGAGGTTGTCCAGTTTATATCTTAATGAAAGAGAAAACAATTCCCAAAAATATTCGCATTAGGCATAACCCCATACCAGAANTCCCATAAGCGTAAAGGCCCGGTTCAATGTCATAACTGCCAGGAATTTGGTCACACATGTCGCTACTGCACCTTACCTGTTGTCTGTGTTATCTGTGAGGATCAACACACTTCTAAGGAATGTGTGGAACCAAACATGGACCCAAAATCCAAAAAGTGCAGTAACTGCGGTGGAAATCACACTGCTAACTATAGAGGTTGTCCAGTTTATATCTTAATGAAAGAGAAAACAATTCCCAAAAATATTCGCATTAGGCATAACCCCATACCAGAACCCGCTAAGCAAATGTCTGCGCCAATGACTGTTAATAACTTTACTTCATATGCACAAATGCTCAAAAATACTCCTCCGACACAACCAATTTTTGGTCAGAATAGTAGTAACCTAGAAGAAGCTACTATAAACAACTTTATGAATGTTATGCAGGAGCAAATGATGGCAATGCAGAGCATGGTACAAGATTTGATTANAACATGGACCCAAAATCCAAAAAGTGCTGTAACTGCGGTGGAAATCACACTGCTAACTGTAAAGGTTGTCCAGTTTATATCTCAATGAAATAGAAAACAATTCCCAAAAATATTCCTATTAGGCATAACCCCATACCAGAACCCGCTAAGCCAATGTCTGCGCCAATGACTGTTAATAACTTTACTTCATATGCACAAATGCTCAAAAATACTCCTCCGACACAACCAATTTTTGGTCAGAATAGTAGTAACCTAGAAGAAGCTACTATAAACAACTTTATGAATGTTATGCAGGAGCAAATGATGGCAATGCAGAGCATGGTACAAGATTTGATTAAAAATCAAAATCTATTACTTCAAGCCATTTTATGCNGCAGAATATGAGTAACCTAGAAGAAGCTACTATAAACAACTTTATGAATGTTATGCAGGAGCAAATGATGGCAATGCAGAGCATGGTACAAGATTTGATTAAAAATCAAAATCTATTACTTCAAGCCATTTTATGCGAACGGGATAACCTAGCATAAAAACGAACTAGAAAGTTTCCTAGAGCGGTATCATATAGACGTTTTGCTTGCATCTGAAANCAAACGAACTAGAAATTCTCCTAGAGCGGTATCATATAGAAGCTTTGCTTGTATCTGAAACACACTTTACGCAATTTAGTAACTTTCAAATTAATGGGAACAAATTCTATGATACTAAGCATCGACAAAGTAAAGCCCGAGGTGGAACAGCTATTACCATTCGTAACAGAATAAAGCACTATGAATTAGAATCCCAAAGTGATGAGTTCATTCATAACACTGCAATACACATCGATGACCACTTGGATGGCTTTACTGTATCTGCTATATACTGCCCCCTCGTCATAACATAACAGAAAAACAATTTAATGACTTTTTCCTAAAGTTTGGCAGTAAGTTTATTATAGCAGGAGATTACAATGCCAAACACACATTCTGGGGATCTAGATTGATTACACCAAAGGGTAGATAAAGTAATCTAGAACAGAGGATTTGACGTCTTGTCTACTGGTCAGGCAACGCATTGGCCATCTGACACCCCCAAAAAATAGCCGATCTTATTGACTTTGGTGTAACAAAGGGTATTGCACGACACCGAGTTAATACTGAAGCATTATTTGATCTATCTTCAGATCATTCACCTTGCCTCATAACATTATCAATGTTTATTAATTACTAGCTTTTACCCGCGGGTTTCACCCTACGTCTTTATACAAATATGAAAAATACTTTATGTAAAGATGTTGTACTCTCTGCTCTAATTTTACTATAGCCGTGATAGCAGCATATGGTAGGACAGCTGTATAACTTGGGTGTTATGGAATGAAATGCAATAATAATTTTTTCGCACTGCAGGTGTTTTTATTTAGGTCAAAATATCTCCAATAAGTTATATAATAGTAGAAATACTATCTAATTTGTTACTTACGAATAATAACTCTAATATAATTTCACAGCATTTTTTTAATACTTCAAAGTATCTATTAATACTAGAGTGCCAGTTACTGTCGAAATTCGACAGTTTTTCTAGTTTTAGAAGCCTTGGAGAGGTTTTCTAACTTAAAACGTAGCAAAACTTATACGGTTCAAATTAACCAACCCGAAAATCTTCCGATATATTCAAGTTTATCGATAAATTTCAATGACTTGATACATATCGATAGTTCGATGAATTTCAAGAACTCTAAAATTCGATAACTCAACAAAATTCGGTTACTCGACTAATATCGATATCTGTGAAATTCGATGCCTCGATAAATTTCAATAACTCAAAAATGTAAAAACTTTGGATACCTTTATAAAATTTTACTTTTGACATCTCCACATTTTTCGAAAACTATCTAAACATTTTGATAACTTGTTACACTCTGTTAGGACGATTAAATTCGATAAGCAGTGACAAATCGATAAGCTTATATAACCTTGAAATTTCGATAAATCGACATATTTAGAAAATTCCATAAACTTCGCTTCGTTGAACCAACCAATTTCAGTAGATCAATAATTATCGATAACTCTGTAAGCTGAGAGAACTCCATGCAATACGACACCTCGATACATTTCGTTAAGTCTAAAATAATGATAATTCAATAAATATCGATAACTTGATACATTTCTTTAACTTGACAAATTTCGTTAATCCCACACGTTTTTATAGCTCGATAACTATCCGTAAATTTGGACAACTAAGTTTCTGTGTCTATAAATTTCGACAACTCAGTAAACATTGGTCAGTTTGAATAATTCGATACGTTGCGATAACTTAATGAGCATGGATAAATTTCGATAATTATAAACTTCGATGATTCGATAAATTTCAGTAAACTTTATGGCCGATTTTGTTTCGATTCCTATCGGAAAATTTCAACTCTGTTAACCTAATTCTTATGTATTTCTCATTGTCTCCATTTTAGCCTTTATCCCAATTTTCGTCTTTATCTTCACTTTTGCTATCACTTGTTTCTTCATCTTCATATTTATCTTTGTTTCAAAGTTTAATTTCAAATACGAAGTAAAACAAAATGCGAAACAGCTTTAATTGAACAGGTATCAAAAACAACCATACACAAATATGAAAATTTTCAAACGACGATTTTCAATAAATTTCGAAACTATAGAAACTCTCCTCATCTACAGGAAATTACCTTTCCAATGGTGGTTTTGGTTTTGAAATCGGTAACTTTACCTTGGTCTTCTACTCACGTAGATGAGATGAGGTGCGATGACGTGATAAGATGTGACGTGATTTTATTATGTGATATCATACCATATGATGTCATATCATGTGATGCCACGTCATGTAATGCCATGTCATGTAATACGATACCATATCATGTGATGTCAACTCATGTGATGTCATGTCATATAATGTGATGTCATATCATATAATGTCATGTCACGTGATATCGTGTGATGTTATATCATATTATGTGATGTAATATCATGTGATGTCTCTTCATATCATGTGATAAAATATTATGTGATATCATGTAATGTGATCACGTTCCGATTAGTATATCGATAACCCTGTTGATAACTGTGTCGATAAAAATACCGATAACAATATCCATATAGAAAAATACAACGATTGCAAAATCGATTAATTCATCGATAAATATAATAATCATCAGTATCGATTATTGTACATATCTTTAACAATATAAATGACTAAATCAATGACAAAATCAATTAGTTAATCGATTATTATACCGATAACAATATCGATTATTATATTGATTATTATATCGATTACAATAGCGGTTATTTAATCAATATTAGTATCGATAACAATATCGATTATTTTATCGATAACAATATCGATTATTATATCGAGAAAAATATCGAATTTTATATCGATAACAATATCGATCTTCATCATCATCGTTTTCTTCGTATTTATGTTTATTTTTGCATATTCCTCTTCACCTTTACCTTAAAGTGTTTAGATTTACTTTGATCTTCGTTTCTGCCTGTACCTCTAGGCATCTTTGTTTTTGTTTTTATTCTCAAACCGTTAAACCGCTGAAAACCATTTCCATGTGCATTATTCCCCTTGAATTTGAAAATTTACTCCCAACTAACCAACCGCCGTAAAGAAGTTTCACTTCATAAATTGAAGAAATATTCTTACCATTTCAGTTACCTTAATTCTTATGTATCTGTCATTGTCTCCATTTTCGTCTTTATCTCCACTTTTGCCTTCTTTTTTTTTTGACTTCATCGTTATCATTTATTTCGTCATCTCCATATTTATCTTTATTTCAAAGCTTAATTTCAAATGTGAAGTGAAACAACATGCGAAACATGTCAAATTCAATATGTTGCAGCAACATCTATACACAAATACGAAAATGTTTAAACGACGGTTTTGGCCCTATCGATGAGTAGTGATAGTTTTTCTCTAGCACAGCCGATTTTATTTATAATGTCTCCATGTAGCTGCGCGTCAGTTTTTTAAGTTTGTCAATTTTGTATTATAAGTTATACTTTCATTGTGATTCCTCCTTTAATGATCGTTTTCTCAAGCAACCTTTAATTGAAAAGCTCCCTTTACATTTAAACGTAGCTTCAAACCATAAGGCTATGTCTGAAGTAAAGCATTTCTATTATCGGTGCACATAGGGGTATTTAGCCGATTTATGTGGCCCAATTTATTCTTATGAATATTTCAAGTCGAAATGTTTAGAAAATACGTGTTTTGACATATAGAATTACAAATTTTTAAAATCAAGTAAATATAGGTTAAAATATTAACACAGTTGCCACCTGTTAAAAATTTTGTTCAATTAATTAAATTAATTGCTGCAATATGGGTATCAATAGAAATGGGTTAGAAAAGGCTTTATCTCTGAGGAACCTTCCAGGGTATTAAAAAATCGAATTCAACTTTAATTAAAGGAATTAACAAAATTCAAATATGTATCACAGTATAGGTAAGAAATGGGTGTATTCGAGGTGCAATTAATGAGGCAGTGCTACGTTCTACGCGAAAATTTGGGCGAACAAAATTTTAACAATCAGTTACTCATCATTTGCAAATCAAAAGCAACATACAAATTTTTACTGCGGAATTTCTGCAACATTTTAGAAAAGTTTAAGTTGATCATCAGCAACATGTCATCAGGAGAGCAACAAGTCTGCAATATTGTGGTAATTGTTACGTAGCTCGAACGCACCTAAAGTAATAAAACTACATTTTTGTAATAATAGTCTTATTTATTATTAAGTGAATTTTGTAAGTATTAACTTGGAGTAAATTATCGTCCTCAATTACTGAAATATCGGAGTTTTCGTATTTTCAACGCATTTCTTTCCATACCAAGTGCACCGAGTTTGGTACAAATTGATAAATCGTTTACCGATATATACATTTGTGGTCGAAAGCGTGCGGCGCCACGCCCATTATCCAAAAAATTATAATAATTTTGTTTAATGCTAAGAGGTTATTCCAAGAATCGATTTAGAGTGAATTAGCTTCAGTGGTTATTGATTTATCGCAGTTTTCTGTAAATTACTGTTATATGGGAAGCGGGCGTGGTTATCGCAGTTATGTTAGATATAGCCTAAGCAAGGCTCGTACCGTGTTTGGTGCGGATTAGTGAAGCGGTTACTGAGATAGAGCATTTCATCATAAGTGAGCGGGGCCACACCCATTTTCTAAAAATTTAATAATAATCCTATTTTGTTCCAAAATTTTACTTAACATACTAATTTTTAACAATTTGGATACAATATTTACTGAAATATCGTAGATTCATCTAAATTGACATTTATCTAAATTTAAACGATTGTATACCCAAAACTATTTCTTTAATCATCACTTATATAACACTAATGTAAAGGAAAACAAATGTTTATTCCGAAATATGTAATATAGTTGGGTTCGCCTTACATTCCCACGGATTTCTAGCAACAGGAAGGAAAGGTCCTAGAAAACATGACTTTTGCTAATATCTCGAAAACTAATTATTTGTTAAATTAAATGGATTCATATTTTAGTT